GATGACCGTTGGCAAGTGATCTGTCTAATTTCATCGGTGTTCTAAGACAAGTGAGAGTATCGTTCATTCACACAGGCGCGTCCGTGCGACGGTGCTTATCGATCGCTCGGATCTGACATCTCACTCACCCGCTTACCAGCCAATCGCGAATGTCGTTCACCCGTTTGCACGTTAGTGCTTCAAAGCTCATCGATAGACCGAATGACCGTGGCTTTGGTGACCACTGTAGCAAAAATGACCACTTTCGAGTGCCCCCTTTTAGTTCAATGCCCCACAGAATTGCCCGAAAAACATTGCAGATTACAAAGATGGATTTTTTTAGCAAAATCATAAATCGTCGTTTGTCTCAAATTGGCTTTCCCTTGGAAATCAACAAACGCGCTGTTTAAATCCATTGTACACTCCAATAACCGAACCGAACTCCGAGCATTAGCNNATTAGCCAAGACAAACAGCTTCAATTGATCCAATAACTTCTGCGCCTCTCTGATTGACATAGCTTCCGGTGCATTCACTGTCTCACAGTCATCTTTGCATTGCTTAGCTTAGCTTGATTCGAAACAAGTTCATCTAATAACTGAAACAGAGACTTGATAAAATTTTTTGAATAACTCACTTCTTCATCAAATTCCTAACATGCGATTTCTTCAAAAAGACGTTCATCAATGGACACATAATGAGTGAAGTCCTCGATCAGATCTAATTTTTCCTCTGGCGTTGCATCACCGGTTGAATCAATGTGCATTTAAACCCAACTTTTATGAAAGCGTTGATCAGTACGTGCGGATGCACAGACACCCAGGCTTTCTTGACCAGACGCATGGCCACGAGAATGTCCACCTCGGCTTTCATGATACGTTGCTCATCTTCGATCAAAGACAGAATGTATTCCAGTAAATGTTCCCGAAAAGAACATTTGAAAGACCAAATCACGACCTCATCCATTGGTTGTAACATTGAAGAACAGTTCAGAGGCAGCCGTATCAATTTGACGTTGGAAAATACTGCGGCTTGGTTAAGGCAAGGGGCGTTGTCCATAAATAGTAAAATAGAGCGTCTTTGAGAAACCATTTTGCGGTTGACGTCGGACAGCAACTGTGAAATAACGTAGAAGTCATCCGTGCGTTCTTTGAAGAACTATGACTGCATGGAAGGCCCTTTCTGTCTATAACTCGGAGGCATCGTGGAGTTTGAAAGTTTTCAACCAACTTTTCTCCAGTCATGTTCCCGCAGAGCAGTAACGTGAACCTTTCTTTGGACTTGTTGGACCCATAAACTGTCTTTCCTTTCAGACTCATTGTTCTTTTTGGGAGCTGCGTGTAATACAAAGTTGTTTCATCTACACTGAAACTATCACAGTCAGCATATCCATATATCAACTGCGGTAACCCCGTTCGAAACTCGTCCACTGCATCACGTGATACCGCTCAACTTTCCCCACAGACCTATAAAATAATGCATATGAGTTGCTTGCTTCTTACTTTGTACTATTAAATACCATATTTGTCTGACGAAGAGCGAAGCCAACCTTTGGAAGCGTTGAAGTCATTGTGATGCAATATTTGTGCTAGCTGGATTGTCTTCTAACGTACGTACGATGCTCTCTACTATTGGAAACTCGCCGTGCTTTTCCCTCATAGCAGTAAACCAAGCCAAAGTTACCTCATTCACTGCCTTGAACTTTTCGTTGGCTTTAAGGTTTTCGTGAAATTCCAAGTGACTTGGTCATGGAGCTCTGAGTTGCGCCTGACTGTTTCAGCATTTCCAACTCATTCTGCTTCTCTCTGATCTTTAGGCGCTTGCACATTTTGACGTCAAATGACACTGTCTCTGATCACTTGCATCGGTGTGACTTCCTCGCTAAGATTATCCACTCAGTGAACAGTGTCATAAATGCGTCACACTAAGTGCAACGCCATTGGTTGAGTGCGACATTTCAGGGTGGATGATCAATGGTCGTCCCGAACATCAGTCAACGACCAAGTGAGTTCGTTTCAGGAACTGCGACATATTGGGAGGTGCGACATCACATAGTCAGAAACTACGTTATTAGGCATACGTTTGGTTGGGGTTTTCGAAAAGGTGGGGAAATATTGAAAAATGCAAATTCTTAGGGGTGCGACGCAGCAGGAGATTGACTGTATCATCAGTTCCGGATGCGTGTACCTGACGAGTGGCAAGAACCGCGAAACTGGGTGTACTTCCTGAGAGATTTTGTCTAGTCATGCGGATAGTATTTATTATAAACATTCATGTATTTATATTTTGTTTACCCCTAGATGGATCCTAAGAATTCTGTCACTGGTTGTCACGGTCTCATTGTGTTCGGCTGCACCATGATTGGGGTCATTTATATTGTTACTAATGTTATTATTAATTTTGATGCTACCCTTAACTTGGTTCTGCAATCTACAGCCACAACGGCGTTATCGCCGATTGTCTTCGTAGCTATGAGAAGTCTCTGAATGAAGTTCATTCGCTAAATATTCATTCAGTTGTATTCATTCCAATACAGACAAACTATCAAACGCGTATAATCACGAAATATTGTGTTTTTGTACTTCAAATGTTACATCATATCTTCTCATTGACCCCACATGATGTAGTCAAGTTGACATAATTCCAGTGATTGGGTTTCGCTGTGAAGTCTCATGGTGGATGACTATTTGACCTTCTCGATGTTGAATACTGACCCCCTTTCCCGTTGGCTTGTTTTCACTCTGCTCGCTCGAATTCCTGTGATTATACTTTAGGTCCGCAGACCTGGGGATCAGTGGATAATTCGTGGCCCATTGGAATATGTACCTCCGATTCAAGTCGAAATAATTCACCGACGCAAGGCGATACCACTTGATCGCAATGAGGGTATTTACGTGCGAAATACGCGAACCGGTCAAGTTCGTGCTGTAATTGGTGAGGCCTATATGCTTAATCATGAAGAGGAACTTTGGCGCAAACGAATGCCTCCTGACGTGATTCAGATGCTTTCAGAAAACAAAGATCCATTAGGCGATCGTGGGACTTATGCAACAAAGCGTCCCGTCCCGGTCTCTGACGAGCCACTTGATTTAACTAGGGTCGTCACGTATCAGGTCCCGCACAACGCTGCCGTGCAGATCTATGACTATCGAGATAAACGGGCACGAGTGGAGTTCGGACCGACTCTGGTCATGCTTGGTCCAGAGGAGCAATTTACCAAACTGAGTTTGAGTGGTGGCAAACCGAAACGACCGAATATGATTCGAAGCTTGTGTCTCTTACTCGGTCCGGATTTCTGCACTGATGTGGTCGTTGTGGAGACAGCCGATCACGCTCGCCTATCGCTTCAACTGTCTTACAACTGGCAGTTTGCGGTATCGAAGAACTGCTCACAGGAGGAAGCTGCCAAGCTATTTGCTGTTCCAGATTTTGTGGGGGATGTGTGCAAAGCGATCGCCTCTCGGGTCCGTGGCACAGTGGCTGCCGTGAAATTTGACGATTTTCACAAGGTGATTTGGTTGTGTTTTGCTTTGAATATTTCCAGTCTATTTGCGTTCACCGCCTTCGGTTATTTGTTTGTGATTCACAAAAGTCGCATCAGGAAATCAATTCAGAAGGGTTTGTTCATCGTATTTTTCCCTTTGCCACGAGTCCCACAGAATACCTATCATTTAATATATAGTCTACATTCGTAATCGACCGAGGTTACGGGGAGACTGCACCTTGACTTGATGTCATAGGTTGTGCACCTCTATGACTCAACGAGCATCAAAATATAGCTTTTACCAAGCTAAAACATTTCGTCATACCTAAAATGTTAGGGTCAGAAAGTTCAGTCTCCTTGTCCTCCAGGTTGAGAGTTCGACTCATATTGGTGTCTCTTTCAGTGAGCATGATGGAGTAACATGTCTTTTCACTTCCTTTTTATTCATAGAATATACAAATGTTCAATCAACTTCTAGGAAATAAGGAAGACGGGGCTGGTGGAGCGGTTCGAACCCTGGACTTCCGGGTCACAACTTTGTGACCACTTTGGCCACCACCGCTATAATTGCTCCAAGTGGATGTGCACTCGATTTCACCGTTGCGTTCTGTTTAGGTTCTTGACGGAACTGAAGGCTTTAGTCAAAGAACCCTAATTCTTCTCCTGCTTGGTGGCTAGATACACTAGCAGTAGCAATCCATCAGACTCTATTGCATGAACAAGCTAACGAATTCCATAGTGCAACGATCGTCACGAAGGATAATCGGGACCGCACTGCCCATTGCCTCGAGCGGGGTAAATAGTCATAAGTGGGCTGCTACTTAGACATCCCAACCTTTGTTTAATTCATTTTGTTGAACTAAACTTCGATATAATTGTGCTTGTTGTTGAGTTCAACGCACAGGTGGAGAAATTGAGCACTTCAGAAGCGAGCATTTGAGGTTGTGTTGCTCTAACCCACCAACGAACATATAACGGGGATCGACTTTTTCAGTTCTGTGCAGAGCACAATCCGTTTCTGTCCAATACCAACTTCCGGCAACTGTCGACAGACGCCAACGTCGTGC